TTTCTAAAATCCTATCTAATGCTAGCAATCATTGTATTATATAATCAGTTAAACCCCCAAAGTATAGGGAAAAAGCATATACTTGACCATTTTCAATCACAAGTTCTTTAGAGAATAAAATATTCTTTGAACAAAACCTCATGAGAACAAGAATTCCCTTTTCAATATATGGTCTCTCCTAGAGCTGTAACTAAATATTACTGAGTGGCAGAAAAACAAATCTCAAGAAATGATGGACTTAAAAAAATTTCATTGTAGAAAGCACAAAGCAAATCCTAATAATACCAATTTTAAAATGATAGCTCCCCTGCTTCAAGAGAAGCAAATATAAATACTCACAGTAATGACTAAAAGACCCAACTGGATATGTTGAGACTCTGATGGACTTTAATAAGCATAATCACCAAGCAACTTAAATTAGAAAGTCAGTTTTATTTAGTAGTTGATTAAATCTTTATTAAATTCATAGATTGTAAAATTAATAGTTCAATTTTAATCAAAATTTCTTAAAGTCAAGTTTGATAGTGTATAACACAGAACACAAAACTAATTTTGTTAAATCTTTAGATGTCCTATATTTAAATTCTATTAATTCTATGGCATTAAATATAATAACAATATGCCATTCATTTACCAATCATAACAAAATACCATTCATTTACCAATCAAATCAAAACCATACACTGAATAGGAGGAATTTCATTAATATAAAAGTAAAATTAAAGTCATCTGGGGGCATCTGTGTGGCTCAGTTGGCTAAGTGCCTGCCTTTGGCTCAAGTCATGAAATCAGGGTTCATGGGATCATGCCCCCACTTCTCCCTCTCCCTCGTTCTCTCTCTCTCTCTAATAAATAAATTAAATCTTAAAAAAAATAAAATAAATAACAAATAAAGTCATCTGTGTTTATATTTCTTAAATACCAACAACGGGCTCAACATACTTAGTTTGGACCTTTCCAAAATTATGTTCTATATTTTTTTTAAAGATTTTATTTATTTATTTGACAGACAGAGATCACAGGTGGGCAGAAAGGCAGGCAGAGAAAGAGGAGGAAGCAGGCTCCCTGCTGAGCAGAGAGCCCAATGTGGGGCTCCATTCCAGGACCCTGGGATCATGACCTGAGCCGAAGGCAGAGGCTTTAACTCACTGAGCCACCCAGTTGCCCCCAAAATTATGTTCTATATTTATATTATATTTTCTGAAACAGAGAAGCTATCACTTTCCAACTGGTTTATTAACATTTCATGTATCCTGATCCCCTCCAGCTCTAAAAAGCTTAGTTACACACTTAGTTATACTAAGTTATACACCTATTATTTTTAAGTCTCAAAACTTCCTGAAGTCTTTGCATATTATTAATAACACCTTGATCTCACTAGTAAACCTAGAGAGGAAAGTGGCTTTAATTTTCTATTGCAATGCAACAGAGAAAATAAAGACTAAGACTTGAATAATGACCATGAAAATGACCTAGAATGGAAAACAAGTTGTTACCTCAAAGGGAGAGAAAAATTACCTGTAGGTAATTTATGCTTCCCATCGATATTCTATAAAATACTGAAACTATTATATTCAAAAGAAATGTAAGTATGGGAAAGACACACTGAGGTACATGGCATCATGAGATATTATTAAAACAAAGTTTCATTTCCAAAAGCAAAAGGTAAAAGTTTCCTGTCAAGTCATTTCATCTTCAGTCAAAACCAATTATGAACTCAAAGCAAAGATAATAATAGCTAGCTTTGAGGGTGCAAAACTAGAAAAACTTGATTTTTTATGGTTTAAAATTTTTAATTTGACAGATAACTCGAGAAAATTTCTCAAAAACTTCCCCCCCCCACCCCAAAGCCACTAATCTACTGGGGAAAAAAAAGCAATAAAGGAATATGTATAAGAAAAATATATTTAGGGGCGCCTGGGTGGCTCAGTGGGTTAAAGCCTCTGCCTTCGGCTCAGGTCATGATCCCAGTGTCCTGGGATCAAGCCCCACATCAGGCTCTCTGCTCTGCGGGGAGCCTGCTTCCTCCTCTCTCTCTCTGCCTGCCTCTCTCTGCCTACTTGTGATCTCTGTCTGTCAAATGAATAAATAAAATCTTTTAAAAAAATAAATAAATAAAAAGAAAAAAAAGAAAAATATATTTAGGAAAAGTGCTAGATTAATTTTTTATAAAAAAGAAAAACACTGTACTTACTATGTAAAGCAACAGTATTTTCATTAAATAAAATTTCATTAAATAATTCTTAAATTTCATATTATAGCCAGGTAATGTGAGAGAGAACAACAGTTCTAATCAGAAAACAGAACAAGTTAGAAATTTCATTATAGGGAAGGGGAAAAGAAAGAGGAGCAGAAGAAACAAATACAGAAGAAAATAAGACCTAAAGCTATGGGTTTAAGAGATGAAAAATAGGAAAATAAGTTAGGTTGAAGCATATAAACTGTAGATTACTCAGGTGCAACCTGAATCATTAGCTCTTCAGCAAGGAGCTATTACTCACGGATCTGCAACAACATCTAGTAATCTATCAAGCTTTGCAGAAACAATTAGTCTTCAATCTTCTGTGCTATGATCAGAACAATGGTGCTTCATAGAATGAGGCCCAAACAAGCCAACAGAGATTGCCCATGAGCTATTAACTTGCCTTATTTCAGACCAATGTGCCAAATCGTAAAAGTTGAAAAAGAAAAACCTATTAGCATCAAGTGAATTTTTTTCATCACCAAGCACTAGTACCCTCCATGGTGAATTAAGCTAGTCTTCTTTTATTTGTATCTAGTCACTGGAATGCTAGAAGACCAAATTAGGGTTAAGTCTGTCAATTTATATTGGTGACTGTCTCCACTGTTGCACTCTTAGTTGTAACTCTGGCTAACTTTCCAAACTCCAAATACAGGGTCTATAAGCAAGAAGACCAAATCCTTGACTCAGCTCAATGGCTCCAACATGGTTTTCTCCACCACTGATTCATGTCCTGAGCCAGGAGTCAAGAAGTAGAATAGCCCGTGAAATTTGGGGTAGCACGTGAGAGTGAACAGGCAGTAAGTATGTTACACAGAGAGCCCTAAACGTCCTTAAACTTGACATCCAAAGTACTCCAGCTACAAATGTAACCAAACACTGAACAATACTATCAGTCCCTGAATCAAAACACATGGAGTGTCTTGGGTTGAATGAAGACCACATATAACATTAGATCATCCGAAAGTGATAGAGTTTAAATTTTATCCCATCACAACATGTCCATCTGGGCAGCACGGATTTGGCCACCGCTTCTTAATATAGGCCAGAGTCTCCATCTTTTTTGACAAGGAGAAAAAATACTCATTTTCTTCAATAACGACTCTCACCAAGAGTTGAAAATGAAGTAACCAAGTCTCTGCAGAAGGGATTCATGTGGGGACAAGACAAAGAAGGCACAGGGTATTACTCTAGATTTTATGCCCTCCCTCTTGGGATTCCCAGTAAACTGCAGAATCACAGTGTGTTGCATCAACCAAATACATGCATCCAACAAACGTTAATGGAGGCAAGTGCTACAGTGGAATCTTCATCCGTAAAGTAAAATGAATTATGTTAACCTCAATGCATTCACATTCTCTTGAGAGAGATAACACATGTCAGATTTGGGTGAGTATTATGCTAAACTATGATGAAGATGCTAAACTAAGTATGAAAGAAACACAAAGTTGGGGGCAACCGGGTGGTTCAATCAGTTAAGCATCTGCCTTCGGCTCAGGTCATGATCTCAGGGTCCTGGGACTGAGCCCCACATCAGGCTCCCTGCTCAGCGCAGTGTCTTTTTCTCCTTCTCCCTTGCCTTTCCCCTGCAATGGTGCTCACTTGCTCGCTCTCTCTCTCTGCTCTCAAATAAATAAAAATTTTTTTTTTAATTTTAAAAAGATTTTATTTATTTCACAGAGAGAGAGAGAGAGAGATCACAAGTAGACAGAGAGGCAGGCAGAGAGAAAGAGGAGGAAACAGGCTCCCTGCCAAGCAGAGAGCCGAATTCGGGGCTCAATCCCAAGACCCTGAGATCACAACCCGAGCTAAAGGCAGAGGCCCAACCCACTGAGCTGCCAGGCGCCCCCAAAAAAATTTTTAAAGAAAGAAACACAAAGTTGAGAAAAGGCAAATTTCTGACTAGGAGGATGGGAGATGGGAAAAGAGGAAATCATGGAAGGCTTCACAGATTGCAAGCTGTCAGACCAGGCAGGGCATTACAGGATAGGAGTTTACTAATGGAACAAAAGAAAAGAAGTTCAGACAATACAGGTCAAAAAAAAAAAAAAAAGCCTGAACAAAAGCAAGAAGATATGAAAATATACAATGTGTTTAGGAAGCCAAGAGCACCCTAAGGTGCTGAAGCAAGAGAATTAGAGGGCAAGGGACAGAGAAGAAGCTGGAAGAGTTAACACGGAGCCACAAAGAAAGGGGCCTTAGATTATATGGCAAGAAGCTGAACTTCATTCTGAAAACAACAAGGAGACATTGATGGTTTTTTAATAAAGTGAGGATGACAAGATCAGATCAATATCTCAGGAAGACAAATGTGGCGATGGTGTGAAAGCTGGATTATTGGGGAATGGGAACAAAATGGTAGGGTATGAAATGACTATAAAAGGGAGTCTTTGAAATCATTAGCTCTATTGATTATAAATCCTGATCCCCCTCTCACCTAGGTAACAATGCACCAAGGAAGGAAGGAAGGAAGGAAGGAAGGAGGCAAGAAGGGCAGGCCCCGAATAAATTCTAAAGTAGTCTATAATTCAGTTTTTACTAATTCAATTAATTTTCCCACTTTTTCTAAAGGATAGAGGTTTTATTACATACATCTTTGTTGTAATCAGCATCTCTGGTTTTGAAATTTTATATCAATGGCACTAAAATTACTTTCGTGCTATTATCTCATGGCATGTAGTGAGGGGAAAAAAACCTGTTAAACATCAAATTTGACCCAATAAAGTAATTGCCATAGGGTTTTCTTTTTTATCCTTACCATTACAAGTTCTTCCTGTAATTCACTGCAACTTTTTTCATTATACTGGAGTCTCTTTGAAAGGTCTATAATTACTTTCTTATGTTCCTCGATCTCTTCATTTAGTTTCTTGTTTTTGGAGACATACTCTCTTTCTAATCTGAAAAGTTAAAGTGTCAGAGCAGAGTTTTCAAATATGGTTTTATCAAGTCCTATTATACAGTTTAACATGACTGGCAGATGTATTATCTATCAAGTTTTTGTGCCAAAGGCCACCTCTCATTTTTTCAAACAAAAAGGGTTGCATATTCTTAAATGAAAGACTTTAATGGAATAATACCTCACCCCTTTCATTAGCAGATATTTTACTAAGCCCGAGGTTATAAACAAAATCGATTTGGTTAGTGTTGATTTGGTCTCACCATTATTTTTTTTTAAGATTTTATTTATTCATTTGACAGAGATCACAAGTAGGCAGAGAGGCAGGCAGAGAGAGGAAAGGAAGCAGGCTCCCACAATCCCACTTGATTGTGGAGCCCGACGTGGGGCTCAATCCCAGGATCCCAGGATCCTGAGATCATGACCTGAGCGGAAGGCAGAGACTTTAATCCACTGAGCCACCCAGGTGCCCCTCACCATTATTTTCTGATGAACAAAACCCACCTACCACAGTTCAATTAGCTCAGAACCTGCCTCAAGACAGAAAACAGTTCTATCAAACAATTTTCAAATTAAACTATAACATTAGAAAAGGAACAAATGTTTTATTCCTAGATGTCCATGCAAATGGAATATGATGGAAAATTAAAATCCAAAAGAAAGAATCATCAAAATTCATCCACATTCACTGTGAAAACATATGAAATTCTTTACTTTTTGTTCTTTTTTAAGTTTTTATTTAAATTCCAGTTAGTTAACATACAGTGTAATATTAGTTTTAGGTGCAGAATTTAGTGATTCATTACTTCCATACAACACCCAGTGCTTCCTTAATGCCTTCCTTAATGCCTTCCTTAATGTGCCTTCCTTAATGCCCATCCCCCATTTAACCCATCCCCCACTCACCTCCCCTCCAGGAACCCTCAGTTTGTTCTCTATAGTTAAGAGTCTCTTATGGTTTGTCTTTCTCTCTTTTTATCATTTTGTTTCTTAAATTCCACATATGAATGAAATCATATGGTATTTATCTTTCTCCGACATATTTCACTTAGAATAATAATCTCTAGCTCTAGCCACGTCATTGCAAACGGCAAGATTTCATTCTTTTTAATGGCTGAGCAATATTCCATTGTATATACCACCTCTTCTTTATCTATCAGTCGATGGACATTTGGGCTCTTTCTATAATTTGATTATTGTTGATAATGCTGCTATAAACATTACGATAAATGCACCCCTTCGAATCTGTATTTTTGTACCCTTGGGTAAATACCTGTAGTGCAATTGTTGGATCATATTTTTAACTTTCTGGGAAATCTCCATACTGTTTTCCAGAGTGACTGCACCAGTTTGCATTCCCACCGACAGTCCAAGAAGGTTCCCTTTTCTCCTCATCCTCACCAACATCTGTTGTTTCCTATGTTGTTAATTTTAGCCATTCTGACAGGTGTGAGGTGGTATCTCATTGGAGTTTTGATTTGTATTTTCTTGATGATGAGTGATGTTGAATATCTTTTCATGTATCTGTTGGTCATCTTTATGTCTTCTTTGGAAAAATTCTGTATTCATGTCTTCTGCCCATTTTTAATTGGATTATTTGTTTTTTGGGTGTGTTGAGTTTTATATGTTCTTTATAGATTCTGGATACTAATCCTTTATCAGATATGTAATTTGCAAATGTCTTCTTCCATTCCATAGGTTGCTAACTTTTAGTTTTGCTGATTGTTTCCTTCATTGTGAAGAAACTTTTTATTTTAATGAAGTCTCAAGAGTTTACTTTTGTTTTTGTTTCCTTGCTTCAGGAGATATATCTAGTAAGAAGTTGCTATAGACTGAGGCACCTGGGTGGCACAGTCGGTTGGGCATCTGACTCTTGGTTTCAGCTCAGGTCGTGATCTCAGGGTTGTAAGATCGAGCCCCACGTTGGGCTCCATGCTCAGCACTGTCTGCTTGAGATTCTCTCTCCCTGTCCCTCTGCCCCTCCCACTGTGCTCTCTTACTCACTTTCTCTCTCTCTCTCTCTTAAATAAATAAATACATCATTAAAAAAAAAAAAAAAAAAACCAGAAAAAGAAGTTGCTAAGGATGATGTCCAAGAGGTTACTGCCTATGTTCTCCCCTAGGATTTTGATGGTTTCCTCTCTCACATTTAAGTCTTTCATCCATTTTAAATTTGAATGAGAAAGTGTTCCAATTTCATTCTTTCGCATGTTGCTGTCCAGTTTTCCCAACAACATCTGTTGAAGTGACTGTCTTTTTTCTGTTGGATATTCTTTCCTGATTCGTTGAAGATTAATTGACCTTATATAGTTGTGGATCCATTTCTGGGTTTTCTATTCTGTTCCATTGATCTATGCCTGTTTTGGGGCCAGTACAATACTATCTTGATCCCTATAGCTTTGTAATGTAACTTCAAGTCCAGAATTGTGATGTCCCCAGTTCTGCCTTTCTTTTTCAAGATTGCTTTGACTATTTGGGGTCTTTTGCGATTCCATACAAATTTCAGGATTGTTTGTTCTAGCTCAGTGAAAAATGCGGTGGTATTTTTTTTATTTAGTTTTCTCAGTGTTCCAAGATTCATTGTTTATGTACCACACTCAGTGCTCCATGAAATACATGCCCTAGGGATTGCATTAAATGTATAGATTGCTTTGGGCAGGATAGACACTTCCAACAATATTTGTTCTTTCAATCCATGAGATTGGAATTGAGATCTTTCCCAGTTGGAACTGAGTTCTTTCAATCCATAAGAAATGGAATGTTTTTCCATTTCTTTGTGTCATCTTTAGTTTTGCCATAAGTGTTTTATAGCTTTTCAGAGTTCGTTAGGTTTATTCCTAGGTATCTTATGGGTTTTGGTGTAATTGTAAATGGGATCGATTCCTTGATTTTTCTTTCTGCCGCTTCATTACTGGTGTATAGAAATGCAACAGGTTTCTATATGTTGATTTTATATCCTAAGATTTTACTGAATTTGTGTATCACTTCTAGCAATTTTTTGGTGGAGTCTTTCAGGTTTTCTACATAAAGTATCATGTTATCTGCAAATAGTGAATATTTGACTTCGCCAATTTGGATGACTTTTATTTCTTTTTGTTGTCAGATGGCTGAGACTAGGACTTCCAGTACTACATCAAACAGTGGTGAGAATGCACATCTCTATCTTGTTCCTGACTATACAGGAAGAGCTCTCAGTTTCTCCCCATTGAGAATGATATCAGTGGTGGGTTTTTTTCGTTAATGGTCTTTATTACGTTGAGGTATGTCTCCTCTATCCCTACTTTGTTGAGGGCTTTTATCAAGAATGGATGCTATACTTTGTCAAATGCTTTTTCTGCATCTATTGAGAGGATCATATAGTTCTTATTCCTTCTTTTATTAATGTGATCTATCATGTTGATTGATTTGCGAATATTGAACCACCCTTACAACACAGGAATAAATCCCACTTGATTGTAGTGAATGATCTTCTAATGTACTTTGGATTTGATTTGCTAGTATTTTCTTGAGAATTTTGATATCCATGTTCATCAGGGATATTGGTCTGTAGTTCTCTTTTCTAATGGGGTCTTTACGTGGTTTTGGAATCAGGGTAATGCTGATCTCATAGAATCAGTTTGAAAATTCTCCTTTCCTTCCTATTTTTTTGAATAGTTTGGGAAGAATAGGCATTAAGTCTTCTTTCAACGTTTGGTAGAATTCCTCTGTGAAGTCATCTGGCCCTGGATTTTTGTTTGTTGGAAGATTTTTGATTACTGATTCAATTTCCTTGTTGGTTATCAGTCTATTCAATTTTTCTATTCCTCCCTGTTTCAATTTTGGTAGTTTGTTTGTTTCTAGGAACTGATCCATTTCTTCCAAATTGTCCAATTTGTTGACATATAATTTTTCATAATATTCTCTTATAATTGTATTTCTGTGGTGTTGGTTATTTCTCCTCTCTCATTCATGCTTTTATTTATTTGGGTATTTTCTCTTTTCTTCTGGATAAGTCTGTGAGGGATTTATTAATTTTATTAATTTTTTCAAAGAAACAGCTTCCAGTTTCATTGATCTGTTCTACTGGGGGAGGATGTTTGTTTGTTTCTATATCATTTATTTCTGCCCTAATCTTTATTATTTCCTTTCTTCTGCTGGCCTAGGCTTCATTTGTTGTTCTTTTTCTAGTTTATTTAAGTATAAGTTTAGGTTGCTTATTTGAGATCTTTATTGCTTCTTGAAGTCGCCCTGTATTACTATACACTTCCCTCTTAGGACCGCTTTTGCTGCATCCCACAGGATTTGGACCATTGTGTTTTCATTTTCATTTGCTTCCATGTATTTTTTTTTTATTTCTTCTTTAATTTCTTGGTTGACACATTCATTCTTTTTCTTTAACCTCCATCTGTTTGTGGGCTTTCCAGATTTTTTTCTTGTGGAACACTTCAAGTTTCATAGCATTATGGTTAGAAAATACGAATGATATGATCTCAATCTTTTTGTACTTGATGAGACCTGATATGTGACCTAGTATGTGATCTATTCTGGAGAATGTCCCATGTGCACTTAAAAAGAGTATGTATTCTGCTGCTTTAGGATGATATGTTCTGAATGAATATAACTGTTTAGATCATCTGATCTAGTGTGTAATTCAAAGCCATTGTTCCCCTGTTGATATTCTATTTAGATGATCTGTCCATTGGTGCAAGTGGGGTGTTAAGTCTTCTACGATTATTATTACATTATTATGAACTCCTTTATGTTTGTTATTGTTTTATATATTTGGGTGCTCCCAAATTGGGAGCATAAATACCCACAATTGTTAGATCTTCTTGTTGGACAGACAATTTTTTTGATGTAATGCCCTTCTTTATCTCTTGTTACAGTCTTTGGCTTAAAATCTGGTTTGTCTGGAGGTGCCTGCGTGGTGCAGTTGGTTGAGCATCTGACTCTTGGTTTTAGCTCAGGTCATGATCTCAGGGTCTTAGGATAAAGCCCCACATCAGGCTCTGAGCTCAGCTGGAGTCTGCTTGGGATTCTCTCTCCCTCTCCCTCAGTTCCTCCCACTCATGCCTAAAATAAATAATCTTTTTTAAAAAAAATTTTAATTAAAATAAATAAATAAAATCTAGTTTGTCCAATATAAATATGGATCCTCTGGCCTTTTTTTTTTTTAAAGATTTTATTTATTTATTTGAGAAAGAGACAGTGAGAGAGAACATGAGCGAGGAGAAGGTCAGAGGGAGAAGCAGACTCCCCATGGAGCTGGGAGCCCGATGTGGGACTCGATCCCGGGACCCCGGGATCATGACCTGAGCCGAAGGCAGTCGTCCAACCAACTGAGCCGCCCAGGCGTCCCTCTGGCCTTCTTTTGATGTGCTTTTCCATGGTAAATGTTTTTTCATCCCCTCACTTCCGATCTGCAGATGTCTTTAGGTTTAAAATGAGTCTCTTGGGGCACCTGGCTGGCTCAATTGGTAGTGCATGCAACTCTTGATATCAGAACTGTAAATTTGAGCCTATGTGGGGTGTAGAGATTACTTAAAAATAAAATATTTTAAAAATAAAAAATAAATATAAAATGAGTCTATTGTACGCAACATATAGATAGGTCATTTTTTAATCCACTCTGATATCCTATGTCTTTTGATTGGAGCATTTAGCCCATTTACATTCAGAGTAATTATTAATAGATATGAATTTAGCACCACTTTATTACTTGTTTTGTCACTGTTTCTGGAGATTTTCTCTGTTCTTTTCTAGTCTTTGTGCATCTGGTTTTTCTTTCCCACTCAAAGAGTCCTCTTTAATATTTCTTGCAGGGCTGGTTTAGTGGTCACAAGCTCCTTTTAGTTTTTGTTTGTCTGGGAAGCTCTTTATTCTTCCTTCTATTCTGAATGACAGCCTTGCTGGCTAGAGTATTCTTGGCTGCAAGATTTTTCCCATTCAGGATGTTGAATATATCATGCCACTCTCTTCTAGCTTGCCAAGTTTCTGTGGAAAGATCTGCTCCTAAATTTATTAATCTTCCCTTGTAAGTTAGGGACTTCTTTTGTCTTGATACTTTTGGATTTTTTCTTTATTTCTGTAGTTTGCAAATTTTACTACACTGTCTTGGTGTTGGCCTGCTTTTGTTGATTTTGATGGGAGTTCTTGTGCCTCCTGATTTGGATGTCTTCTTCCTTCCCCAGATTAGAGAAGTTTTCAGCCATAATTTCCTCAAATAAACCTTCTGCCCCCTTTTCTAGCTCTTCCTTTTTGGGGGGACTCCTGTTATATGCATGTTATTACACTTTCTGGAGTCACCAAATTCCCTAAATCTAGTTTTATGATCCAAGATTTTTCTCTCCCTTTTTTGTTCAGCTTCATTATTTTCCATCTTCTGAGGGAATTCTATCTTTTTGGTGTTTTTACATAAAATGTATTGTTTCAGGGGCACAGGTCTGTGATTCATCAGTCTTACACAATTCACAGCGCTCACCATAGCACATACCCACCCCAATGTCCATCACCACCCCTCCCTAAAAATATGAAACACTTCATGAATTTGTATGTCATCCTTGTGCAGGGGCCTTGCTAGTCTTCTCTGTATCATTCCAATTTTAGTATATGTATTGGCGAAGCAAGCACAGGAATTCTATCTTCTATATCACTTATTCCTTCTTCTGCTTCTTCCATCCTTGAGGTAATTACACCCAGTTTGTTTCAAATCTTGGTTATCACATTTTTTATTTGGCCTGATTTGTTTTTAGCTCTTTTGCTTCTGCAGTAAGGGTCTCCCTGATGTCTTCTATGCTTTTCTCAAGCCCAGCTTACTATCCTTATGATTGTTGCTTTAAATTCAGGATTAGGCATGTTACTTAGATCTGTTTCGATTAGATTCCTGGCCATGATCTTATTTTGTTCTTTCTTTTGGGATGAAATCCTCCATTTTGGCATTTTGTCTAGGTCACTGTCTTTTTCTGTGTGTTAGTAAAACTTGTTATGTTTCCTACTCCTGAGAGTAATGACCTAATTAAGAAAAGTCATATAATGTCCAGGGCCTGGTACTTCAGGAAGTAGCTCTAGTGTGTACTGCATGCACTCTGCTGCTTGTTTTCATTGCTCTATCCTTCAGGTCAGTGGTCTGCAGAGTTTCTCCTTGCCTGCAGTGGGGAGTGTTCGGACCCTGGCTAGGGTATGGAGTGATTTAACTAGCTGTGCTCTGGTCTGCTTGTTAAGAAAACTGATACTATTCCCACTAGAACTGAAGCTTTGCGGAACTGTATAGTCAGTAGACATGGTACATGAAGGGGTTTGTGTTGGTCTTTGGGGCGAGCCCACTGCACTGATTCTTTGGCATACTTGCCTGAGAAAAGCAGTACCAGTGGAGCACAGGGGATGGGGCTTGGTGTGAGCAGGTTAGGCAGCCAGTGTTGGTGCTGTGGTATTTCCTGAAATTAGTTTATACCTAGGGGCAGGGAAGGGCAATGGTGCCAGCCAGCTCCTTTGTCCCGGGAGAGGGGAATTCCTGCTTGCTGCTGGGAAGCCCTCCCAGAGACTGAACAATCTTCCTTCACGAGTCCCAGCTGTTCCTTAGGTCACTGCTTTCACACTGTCTGTGTCTAGGTTGCTTGACCACCTGGAGCAGTGCAGTGCACTGTGGGTTCTATCACTGCCAAGCTGGCTGAGTTTTAAAATTCCATACTTTAAGGACCTGGTGTGGCAGGGACCTGCACTGGTCTTCTGGGGGAGGGTCATTAGTGCCGGGACTGATGCAGGTCTGACCCAGAAGAACAGTCACACCAGAGCACAGAAGCAGGGAATACACACTAAAGAGCCAGTATCCAGGTTAGCAGCCCTCAGCAGGTGTCTCTGCACTTATGCTGAGGGGCAGGGGAGAAAATGGCACCTACTGGCACCTTCATTCCCAGAAAGGCAATGTCACCTCTTTAAGATGTGCTCCAAGAAGGGGAAACCTTCTCTCCCCATGCATCTCAGGCAGTCCTCAGATCACACCATCTGCCCCCAGGTTACCTGGCTGCCTTCTCCACAGGAGCATGGCAGCATCCACATGGCTCCACACCAGCCACACTGTGGATCTCTAAAACTCCAGTCTTTGAGCCCTACGGGTTGCAAAAACTCATAAAAATCAGCTCCTCTCACTCTCCCAGGCAATGCCTTTGGGGAAGTATTCTCTTTATGCCTATCTCTATGCACTCTCCTCTCACTCACCTTTCCTCACGACCAGAGCTCCTTCCCCTCTGCAGCATCCACAAGCCATTTCTCCCCCAAACCACATCTCCACATCTCCTAACTTCCACAAAGTGGTTTCCTCTCTCCCTCCAGTTGTGCAGTTTGTTCTGTCAGTGCTCAGATCAATTTCTTGGGTATTCAGAATGATTTGACATTTATCTACTGTGTTTGAGGGACCAGGCAAGCCTAATACCATCTTAGCCCCCCCACCACCACTACATGAAATTCTTTTCAAAAGATTTGCCTTCCTATTTAAATTTTGCTCAGGCTGGCATTAAACTGTATTTACATTCTTGTATGGACATCTGATGAAAGGCAGCTTAGAACTATTTCAGTTTAGAATTTGTTGTAGATAATCCACTAAATGGGTAATTTTAATTCAAATTAAAGTGTTGCCACTATTTTTAATCTGAGATCTTCCTGATGAACATAGTAGACCTGTTTCCTATGATTTTGAAGCTGTAATGCAGAAATAAAGTGATTCAGTATAACCAAATCTACCACTACATTCAGGCTATAATCAAATAAAGAGCTAATTCTTGAATGGCAGAAGATTTTACTCTCAAGAGTCAACATTCTTTTCTCTAGGATGAAATACAGACAACTCCAGTGCTAACCCTTTTGTATGTTCTGCTTTGGATCAAGGATATTCCAAAGTAGAATAGTTAAATATGTATATGTGTATATATATGTATACATGTGTGTATGTATACACACACACACACACACACACACACACACACACATTCACTTCCCAGAAAGTAAGTAGAATAGTAAAAATGGATTGAAGTAAAGAAAAGATAACAAATACATTCAGGAATCCCAACATATAGGTAATAGAAGTTTCAAAAATGAGAAGGTAAAGAAAACAGAAGAGAAGAAATCAGCAAAGTAATAAATACAAATATTTCCTAGAAATGAATTACTTGAGTCTTTAAAATGGAAGGAGCTATATGAGTGCCCAAAATGAATGAAAAAAAAAAAAAATCCATGCTAGGCCCATCACCATGAAATTTCAGAACACTGGGAACATAGAGAAAATTCTAGTGTTCATAGACTATGAAAATATATACACATTATTTCTTTATCAAGCATTATAATGTAAGATCCGTAAACCATTTCTAGATACTTCCCCATGTTTCCATACTTGTGACCACTCTGTACGAGTTTCCCATGGAAAACATAGACCATATAAAAAATATCAGGAATCAAACAACTTTAGATTTCTTGACACTAGAACTTAATTAATGTCCAAGTGAACTAAGAAAAAGAGAAAAGATAAAATAAAGACATCTTCAGAATGCAAATTTCAAAATTTTTCATCTGATGTAGAATTTCTCAAGAAGCTGCCCTACAAAGGGAGTAAATCAAACAGGGAGGAAGGGATGAGACCAGCAACAAGAGATCCAAAATAGTAGAGAAGCAGAGAGCATCTCAAGGAAGATGGGGATGGGAAGTCCTAGGGATGACAGTGGCAGGGAGCCTAAAAAACAATTAGTCCAGGATAGAGAAGGTGGGGAGAAGAGTCCAGGATGGATGTCTCTTACAAGAAACTTAAAACAATAGAATTGCTGAGGTATAGGAACACAATGAGGGATTTTTCAGTCATATTAGAGAGTTTAAGAGTAATTCAGTGTTTAGTGCAATAAACAACAAAGAATATAATAAACTGTGCCATGAAGAAAAATAAAGATAACTTACCAAGAAAAATAAGTTATAGAAAATAATACCCCCAAATAGAACCCCTTAGGTAGGATGAGGGGAGGGTCGGAATTAAGTGTGTGCTGTGTGAGAGAAGGGTACAATAGAGATAATAAGTAAGCAGTTGTGGGGGGAGGTAAAACAGATAATATCTAACAGTGGGAACTAAAAACATGGCAGGATATGCATGTAATTCAGAAACAGGAAATTAAACATCAGAAGAAACAGCAATAAGAATTAAAAGCAGTTGCCTCAAGGGAGTGGAAATGGGTAGTAGAGAGCAAGGGGCATGAAACTGTTGACCTTGCCATATTCTTTTACTTTTTAGACTATGTACAAGCTAATTTGATAAAGTCAAAATTTTAAATGGAAATTATTACCACTCAACAAATATAAAATTAAATGACTCCGTCACTTGGTGCTGGGTTCAAGTTCAAACTGGGTCCACTGAAATAGAGGGACACTCCCTGCTGTCACCAATGTCACATACAACCCAGGAAGTTGTCAGGTCCTAGGCGTCTGGCAAAGCCCCACCAAGGGTAAGGAGTTAGGCAGGAGTATAACAAAGGTTAAAGGGAGCCCCAACTCTTTGAATTCCAAAGGAGAAGCATCAGGACTTGGCGGGTGGAGGATTTAGCAAGAAAAGTGAAGGGAGAGGAAGGAAACCTGTAGCTAAGGTGCCTTCTTTCCTGCTAGATTCCCATTCTATGATTTTTCTAAAGGAGCTCAACTAAAAACTTCACTACAGGCTGCTTTAACAAATAATCATCTTTGGTCTTTTATACAGAATGTACACACTAATACTGCTAATAAATCATAGTACTTTTGTTATTTTTATACTTTTGGATGATATATTTAGAAAAATAAAGAAATTCCTAAATATTGAGTGTAATGAAATAAATAAATTGAGATTCAGTCCTTTCAGTATATCTTTGATAGTCCTGTTTTAAATTTAATTTTAAACTAGATTTAAAGTTATCATGAGCTCCTTCCCTCAACACTGCCCACCAATCGGTTACCACAGCTAATGAACACCTGACATACAGAAAACTCTAAAATAAAAAGTTTATTGAAAAGCTTTAGTTTCATACTATAACTTTTAGATGCAAAAAAAGATTTATAATTAAGAAAATTTAATTATAGAAATAAAGAACAGATATATATCCTATCTAAAATTATATATCAAATATATATATTTATTAAAATAGCCCTTTTTTAAAAGATTTTATTTATTTATTTGAGAGAGAGAGACATAGCGAGAGAGGAAACACAAGCACAGGGGATGGGAGAGGGAGAAGCAGTCCTCCCGCTGAGAAGGGAGCATAATGTGGGGCTCGATCTCAGGACTCTGGGATCATGACCCGAGCCAAAGGCAGACGTTTAATGAATAAGCCACCAAGCACCCCAAAATAGCCTGTTATTGTTATCAAATTCTTAACTGAGCTCTTTAATATACATATGTAAAATATATGTAAGTATATATATATATATATATATATATTCCATTTAAAATACATGGATACATATATATTCCATCTCAAATAAGTTCATGTAGAAAAGTTCACTGTTATGAAACTGTCGACCAAAATTATAAATCCAAACTAGACACATAGCTTTTTTCTCTTGACCTAGATCCACCCGGGAAAAAAACAAGCTTAAGAACCTTAACCACAGGCAAAGTTCAGGCAGCATTTTCTCTATAACATCATCATTACCAGTTGCTAAATTAGTTCTATCCAACAGGTAAAACAATGTCCTACCCCAGAACTCCCTACCCTCAGAGTTGTAAAATAAAGGTATCACTTACCTTAAAGAACTAAAATCTACCAAGTTTCTTTTGGAACACATTATCCAAAACTTAGAGCTACTTTGAAAAATCAATATTTGACAGTTTGTGACTCTAAAATATTTTAAAATGTTTTTTAAAGAGGATTCTGAAGGCAAGTCAGAAGCACAAATAGAAAATAAAATAACTGAAATAATCACCCCTCATGTCATACCATTTCTTCTAACACCACAGCTCACTGGAACAGAAGAGGCAGTGAATGCAGAGAAAAGGAAGATATGATGGGGAAGAGAAGTCACAGGAACTGAGTTGCAAAATGAGAGGTGGGTTTTAACTACTATTTAATTTTTATTATTATTAACTTCATTATTATAGTAGATATATAGGGATAAAGAACAGATAGGAGATGTTGTGTTAGAGTATTTAGGATTGTTAGCTGGTGCTTAGTTGAAATATGTAACTAGTACTTAGAATTATTAGTTGACACTTACTTATTGGAATACAAAATTTGCATAAAATTTTTCAAGCACCAAAACACAAATAATAGCAAAACAAATAAGGGAAAAATCTGCTTTGGGGTCCAGTGAGAAAAGTACATAGTTTGGATGGAATAGACAGGTGATGGGTATTAAGGAGGGCACTTGTTATGATGAGCACTGGGTGTTATATGTAAATGACAGATCACTGAACTCCACTCCTGAGCCAATATTGAACTATATGTCAATGAACTAGAATTTGAATTTAAAAAAAAAAAAAAAAAGAAAGGAAAGTTACATAAGTCAAAATCTTGGAACTTGGGGCTCCTAGCTGCCTCAGTCAGTGAAGCATGCAACTCTTGATTTGGGGTTATGAGTTCGAGCCCCATGTTGTGGGTAGAGTTTATTTAGAAAAAAAAAAACATCCTTAGCTTAATTGTTAGCAGGACCTTTAAAATTCCTCTAGTCCAACTTTTGCAGGACTCTCTTCTTCAATATCCATAACAAAGAATCACCCACCTTCTGTTCTGAACTTCCCAAGGCAAGGAGCTCACTAGGTCCCCAAAAAAGCCTATTATTTCATTATTGAAAGAATTGTTGGGGAGTACAGTCTGGCTTCTAACAGTTTCACTTGTAGGTCCTAATCATTACTTCAAAGCAACAGTAAAGAAGCCTGCACTATATTCTTGGGGCACCTGGGTGGCTCAGTGGGTTAAGACTCTGCCTTCGGCTCAGGTCATGATCTCAGGATCCTGGGATCGAGGCCCACATCTGGCTCTCTGCTCAGCAGGGAGCCTGCCTTCCCCGCTCTCTCTGCCTGACTCTCTGCCTACTTGTGATCTCTCTCTCTCTCTCTCTGTCAAATAAATAAACAAAATCTTAAAAAAAAAAAAAAAAAGCCTGCACTATATCCTACATAAGGGCTCCTAAACATATTTATATATAAATGGACAGATTCAAACAGTGGTTCATAGGAAATTAAGAGGATAAGTCTTAAGAATAACATTCACAGAATGTCATCTAAGTCATCCCAGAGGAAGCAAAAAAATTCAGTTCAGAATTACTGGTTTAGGGGTATCTGGGTGTTTCCATTGGTTAAGCATCTGAGTTTGCCTCAGATCATGATCTCGGCATCCTGGGACCAGGCCCAGCATTAGGCTTCCTGATCAGTAAGGAATCTGGTGATCCCTCTCCCTTTATCCCTCTCCCCCTGCTTGTGCCTGTGCTCTCTCTCTCACTCTAATAAATACATAAAATCTTGGGGAAAAAAAAAAATAAAGAATTACTGGTTTAAAATATTATAAGCATTACTACTAAAAGTAATCTCAGAGATTTTAAATTTTTCAACATCAGTCTCTTTTTTTAATTTAAATTCAATTAATTAACATATAATGTGTTACTGGTTTCAGAGGTAGAGGTCAGTGATTCATCGGTCTTACAGAACACCCAGTACTCATTACATCACATGCCCTCCTTAATGTCCATCACCCAGTTACCCCATCCTCCCACCCACTCCCCTTCAGCAACCTTGTTTGTTTCCTGTGATTAAGAGACTTATGGTTTGTCTCTCTCTCTGATTTCGTCTTGTTTTATTTTTCCCTCTCTTCCCCTATGATCCTGTTTTGTTTTTCAAATTCCACATATGAGTAAGATCTGTCTTTCTCTGACTGACTTATTTTGCTTAGCAAAATACCCTCTAGCTCCAACCACGTCATTGCAAATGGCAAGATTTAATTTTTTGATGGATGAATAGTATTTCATTTTATATATATACACTACATCTTCTTTATCCATTCATCTGTCAATGGACATCTAGGTTCTTTCTACAGTTTGGCTATTGTGGACACTGCTGCTGTAAACATTGGGGTGCATGTGCCCCTTTGGACCACTACATGTGTATCTTTGGGATAAATACCCAGTAATGCTATTGCTGGGTCATAGGGTAGCTCTATTTTCAACTTTTTGAGGAACCTCCATACTGTTTTCCAGAGTGGCTGCACCAGCTTGCATTCCCACCAACAGTGTTAAGAGGGTTCCCCTTCCTCCATATCCTCTCCAACTCTGTCATTTCCTGACTTGTTAATTTTAGCCATTCTGACTGGTGTGAGGTGCTATCTTATTGTGGTTCTGATTTGTATCTCCCTGATGCTGAGTGATGTTGAGCATTCTTTCATATGTTTGTTGGCCATTTGGATGTCTTCTTTGTAGAAATGTCTGTTCATGTCTTCTGCCCGTTTCTTGACTGGATTACTTATTCTTCAGGTGTTTGAGAAGATCTTTATAAATTGTGGATACTAACCCTTTATCTGATAAGACATTTGCACATTTCTTTTCCCACTCTGTCCTTTGTCTTGGTTTTGTCAACTGTTTCCTTTGCTCTGCAAAAGCTTTTTACCTTGATGAAGACTATATGGTTCATTTTTGCCTTTGTTTCCTTTACCTTTGGAGATGTATCTAGCCAGAAGTTGCTGTGGCCAAGGTCACAGAGGTGGCTGCCTCTGTGCTCCTCTAGGATTTTAATGGATTCCTGTCTCACATTTAGGTCTTTCATCCATTTTGAGTCTGTTTTTCAACATCATTCTTTCAAGTCAGTCTTTCAAGTGTCATATTTATGATTTTGCCACACCCATAATAATCACTACTATTTAATAATACTTTAATTCATTTCTTAAGTTAAATGAAGTATTTTAAGAGAAATCTTGATATTATTATTATAAGTGGGAAACCATTATCTATTTGTCATAGACAAACTAACATTAAATATAAATACATAACTCTAATGTACCAACCTATTATCATGTCATGTACCAATGGTGGTATGCATTCCAGCCTATAGGAAGAAATGGTTTAGAATATCTCCTATCAAATTTTTTGGAAACATATTAAAGAATTATAAACTTCTTAAAGCATCCCACAGAACTTTCCAGATGAAAGGCTTTTGAATTGAAAAACATTAAAAATCAGGAGGAGTCAAAAAGACCCTGTCTACCACTTACTAGTTGCGTGTCCCCATTAAGCCTCAATTTTCACATCTGTAAAATAGGGATTAAAGGAGCAGCTACCTCATGGTGTGTTCTATAAATTGAATGAAATCACGCAATGCTAGAAAGCAGGTGAGCTTAGAGTGCTATTAGCCCCTACTACTATTATTTCTGTAGTATGAGAAAATCTCAAACATTTGCCCATCTCCATATAGACCTTTTTTAGGAGGCCTAGAAATCAAGATCTTTAAGATACTATATTATATCAATAAATGTAAAATACATTAACACATTTACTCTCTAGTGTAAAAACTGCATTTCAGAGACTACGTGGAATAGCCATTATACTTCAAAAGCCAAAAAAAGCATTTCCATGTTTACCTATACAGAGAAGTCTAGGTATGTTTTATGAAATCATTTATCTGCAATCTAGCACAGACACTAATGAGAGCTATATCTAAAATACTACACAGTCATACTCATGTAAGCTTCATAAATTCTTTATAAAGAATTCTACAATAAAACACTTACAAACTCAGTTTTGCAAAGCTCTCTTGAGCATTATGCTTTTCTCGCTCATATGCACTTTCAACTTCTTTGAATTCATTCTTGATCATTTCCAAATCTGCAACAGCTTCTGCTTGGCTGGCCTTTTCCACCTGCAAAGCGCCTTCAAGGTCTCGAATCCGCAACTGCCAGAAGACAGAGAAGTAGTTAAAACGAGCAAGGAAATGCTGGCTTCAAAGGCTGGTCAGACTGAATGGAGTTCTTTATCAACTGCAGTTTATCATTCATCCAAACACTTCTTCCTTTCTGCTTTGGTTTAAAAAGGAAAATAAACAAAAGACAGTGTATTCCCTTTCTCAACATGTTTAATGGAAGGGAGGAAGAGGGGAAGAATAGTTAACTGTGCTATGGAAATGCCTGATCAAAGTGCTGAATTTTGACCCACTATTCCATTTGGAGACTTCTTTTATAAAACATAAAAAATTAATGGTTTGAGGAAACAAAAGGGAAATAGTCTTCCCCTCTTATGAGAAACATCATTACAGTCACATGTTTAGAAGCCCATGAAAGTTAACATCTTTTTTATTCCTAGAGATTTTTTACTATAGAAAAGTAAAACTTGAATTACTTGTTTTTATTACTTGTATTACCAAATAATACTCTTTGACTAAAATATTAATGAGTGTAGTTATATGATATCTAGGATTTGCTTCAAAATGCTATGGGGCTGGGGAGTAGATGGGAGGGCGGTGAGGGGTTGGGGCGAGTTCATTGTACCATTCTCTCTACTCTTGCATATACTTGAAACTTTACATAATAAAACACTTTGATAGGTTCTACATAAACATCGACAGTAGAACAGATAAACAAGTACATTCCCATTAAAGAATAACATGTAGCTATTTAAAAAGCTGTAAAACAACTTTTGAAAAGGAAGCTCTCCATGTGGCTCTCCAAGCGGTGTTAACACAGACTGAAAAAGCAAAGTCCACATCAGTGTATACAGTCTGCTATATTTTGGGTAAACAAGTGGGAAAAATTAAGTAGCAGGCAACATGGTGGAGCAAAAGGAGCAATAGGAGTGAAAGCAAGAGTTCTCGATCATTTAATATTGTTTGGATTTTTGAACTATGTGGATATTTTACCTTTTTCAGAAAATTAAATTTAAAAACTAAAAAGTAGACTGCTACAGCCAGAAAAAGTGGGGAGTGGTAGAAAATGTTTTACACTAAATAGAATATGGGCTTTAGAACCATAAAGCTCACATTTAACTTCCAGCTCTATAAACTTTTGTGACCTGTAGTATATTACTAAACCTCAAAAAGGCCAGAGGTTCCTCATCTGTAAACAATAAATAATGGTGGTAATAATAATAACAAACAGACTATCTACAGGGTTATTACAAAGATCTAATGAGATAATATTCATCTAATATATATTTAATATTACATATGTATATATGTTTATTTAATAAATTTTTGGATATTTATTCAGCACTTAATATATGCCAGGCAGTGAGCTAGTGCTCAAGATATACAATAATCATGAAAATAGACAGTCTTAGTTTCGAGGAGCTCCTAGTCTTTAGGAGAGGAGAGATCATGACAGAATGTGGTAGGTGTTTCCTAGCATAGAAACAGGCACAAAGGGCCATGAAATCAGAGAAAAGCTATGAACAAGCCTCCTGGGGAGGGCAAAAGCCAATCCAAGGTAAGAAAGATAAAGTCACCAAGAGAAGAAGCCTAGAACAACAGGAAAGTGTTTTGTAAATCAATCCATACAAATAATAAGCACCAGAATTATTATTTATAATTCTTCAAAAATATTTTGGAATAATCAAAACATTCTTGCACTAAAGTAAGGACACAGAATAGAGCTGGAGATACAGCTTGGTAAATTTTCAAATTTGGTCTTTTAAGTTTTATCTTTCTTTGCTGTTTTGTCTGAATCCAATGTTGACAAGTGAAATAATAGATCTAGAAAACATTTTCTTCTGTCTGCATTGCTATCTTCTTTCAGAAAATAAGCACACTCAATCACAAATGATAAACCAAGCCAACTGAAAGAGAAGTAGGCTTCAAATTAATAATTCTGAGTCAACTCTTTGATTCCATTTTCTCATTTTTATGAGAATAAAGTTAACATACTTCAAACATACATTTAACTACAGTTTATGCTAAGATGGTGATTAATTACAACTATTTAATGGTCTCATTTGCTTTTAAACTAATCTGAAACTGAATTTTACTAGATGTACCTCACTGAAAATACTTGTCAATATTTATAGATATATGGGTCAAATATAAACTTTGGCTTTTTTCTGCATCATAATGTGGAGTTAAATATCAAATATAAATTTTAAACTTGTGATTAAAAAAATACATGTAATAATCTTTATTTTTGTAGCTATTAACTATATAACCCCAGGTATAAATTATAACTACACTGAAAAACTTAATTTTGAATTATATTTCCTTCATAAATTTAAAACTTTAGCCTTATTGCTTATTGATGCCATTTTGGGTGATTCAATCGTTTAAAAAAAAAAGGTTGGGGCACCTAGGTTACTCAGTCGGTTAAGTGTTTTACTCTTGATCTCAGCTCTGGTCTTGATCTCAGGGTCATGAGCTCAAGCCCCTCATTAGGATCCATGCTTAACTTGTACAAGTTTGCTTAAAATACAAAATGCACTCAAATACATGGACCTGAGAATTTTACAGGTAAGGGGGACATTTCATTAAAGATAAAAATTTTTTTTAATTTTATTATATAATTCTTATAAGCTTAATTGCACCCTTTATTAAGACCCAGTTAAACAATAAGGTATAATTTTGCAAGTTTATTAAAATTTAATGTAAGGGAAAAGTGTAAATCTTAAAAAAATTCAAATTAAATTAAGGAACTGAGGGGCATCTGGCTCAGTCAGGAGGGCTTGCGACTCTTGATCTCAGGGTTCTGAGTTCAAGCCCCATGTTGCGTGTGGAGCCTACTTTAAAAAAAAATTAAACTAAGATGTTAGATTTCTGGAACTTCATATGAAACTTTATACACAACATAGGCCATGGGCCAGACATGGTCCATGGGCAGTAGTTTGCCAAGCCCCAGTTGGAATGCCTTCACTTCCCTTAGAAATTACTTCTCATTCTCTAAGACCTGGAGGACACTTTGCTTAGGATGCCTTCAATTAATTCCCCTCTCAGATATAACCTTTTTTATTATGCTTTCATAGCATTTTATATTTTAGTATTTTATGTTTCTACCCGTACATTTATCCATATATCTATACAGAAGCAGATAAATATACAGTATTTCAGATAACGGAAGTAAGTTCTAAGAGTCGTTTCTTCGCCGTTATACCTTCAGCTCTTAATACAAGTGACAAGCAGTGTGCACAGGATATACACTCTATAAAAGGTGCATATTTTTTTAATGTTTTCAAAAAGAAATTCATCCCATGGCTCTTGATGAAAAGAAAACTCTGATCAGCAAATCATTCTGTAACAGGCCAGATGGTAAATACTTTGGACTTTGCAGGCCATAATGTCTCTGTCATAACCATCCCCCTTTGCCACTGCAGCCCAAAAGCCCCACAGACAAGAGAGAACCCCCCTTAAACAGGCAGTGGTTGAGATATGGCCCGTGGGCTAGAGTGTGCCAATCCCTCCTCTAACAAAACCATGCTCAGCCATATCCTGATAGCAAACAGAATAATGAGTGTCTTAATAATATGCTACCCATTCTTTATTTTTTAATTTTATTTATTTATTTGAGAGAGAGAGAGAGTGCGTGGGGGAGAGGCAAAGAAAGAGGGAGAGAATCCTATGTAGACTCTGCACTGAGCTCAGAACCCCTGGTGGGGCTCAATCCCATGACCTTGAGATCATGACCTGAGCCTAAACCCAGAGTCAGGGCCTTGACTGACTGAGCCCCACCAGGTGCCCCTATGCTACCCATTCTAAATGTAAACCTGAGTTGTCTGAACAGAATGCTCCTTTTCCCAACTTAATAAAATCCATACAAAAGAATTTTTGTTTACATTTTACCTGAATAATTTCAGAATTAAATTTTGATTCCAAATGTGCTGCTCTCTCTGCTTCAATATTTTCTTCTAGTTTCCTCACTCTCAGAGTAGTTGCCTAAAAACAAATTCAAAGTTTAAACTCACAAACATTGGTATTTAAAGTGGATATAGATCTTTGCAACCACAGGGATGGAGCTAGAGAGTATAATAATGCCATCGAAATAAGTCACTTAGAAAAAGACAAATACCATATGACTTCACTTGTATGTCGAATTTAGGAAACAAAACATCTAGGTTCTTTCCATACTTTGGCTATTGTGGACATTGCTGCTGTAAACATTCGGGTGCACGTGCCCCTTCGGAGCACCACATTTGTATCTTTGGGATATATACCCAGTAGTGCAATCACTGGGTCATAGGGTAGCCCTATTTCCAGTTTTTTGAGGAACCTCCACACTGTTTTCCAGAGTGGTTGCACCAGCATGCATTCCCACCAAAAGTGTTTGAGGGTTCCCCTCTCTCCGCATCCTCGCCAGCATCTGTCATTTCTTGACTTGTTAATTTTAGCCATTCTGACTGGTGTGAGGTGGTATCTCATTGTGGTTTTGATTTGTATTTCCCTAATGCCGAGTGATGTGGAGCATTTTTTCATATGTCTGTTGGCCATCTGGATGTCTTCTTTGTAGAAATGTCTGTTCATGTCCTCTGCCCATTTCTTGATTGGATTATTTGTTCTTTGGGTGTTGCGTTTGGTAAGTTCTTTATAGATTTTGGATACTACTCCTCTGATATGTCATTTGCAAATATCTTCTCCCATTCTGTCAGTTGTCTTTTCATTCTCTCCACTTTTTAATTGGGTTGTTTTCTTTTTTTTTTTCCCCAAGATTTTATTCATTTATTTGAGAGAGAAAGAGAGAGTGAGAGAGAGCACACTGGGAAAGAGGCAGAGAGAGAGAGAAGCAGACTCCCTGACCAGCATGGGAGCTGACGAGGGGCTCTATCCCAGGACTCTGGGATCATGACCTGAGCCAAAGGCAGACCCTTAACTGACTGAGCCACCCACACGCCCCTGTTTGTTTTCTTATTATTGAGTTTTAAGAGTTTATATAATCTGCATACAAGTCATTTACTGGATATGTGATTTGCAAATATTTACTCCAAGTCTACAGCTTGTCTCTTCATACCATTAAAAGCGTCTTTCATGAAACAGAAGTTTTCATTATCCTTAAGTCCAATTTATCAATTTTCAGGCAAGAGTCAACTTCTGGCCAGGATTAGAAGTCAGAAGCTTTATTTCTGAAAGCCATTTCTGTTGAGAAAATGCAACCATGGGAAGCACTGGATTCCTAGTCTCAAAGAGGGAACGGTCATGGCCAAAAGCCTGGTGGGGGCTGGGCAAGTAGGGTTAAAGGGACCCCCCCCATTGCAGATGTCTCAGGATAACAGTAGTAAAGAAAACCATGCCTAAAGTCCTGTCTGTCAAATAAGGATGTTTCAACAGTGATGGAGTAAGGCATTACTAATTTCATTTCCTTTTCAAGTAAAATCTGGACAAGAAGAAAGTTTCTATTAATTATATTTACTTTATCATTTAGCTTAAACTGAAGTTTTTTTTAATGCTTTTTTAATTGCTTTTTTTTTAAAGTTTTTTGATTAATTGCTTTTTCCTCTTTACTTCCACAATTTTTTTTTACAGATTCACAGAAAGAAGGAGCATAAGCAAAAACTGGATAATTCATAAATTAAGCAAGCCATCTGTGAATAAGTAAGAAATGACTACACCTTTCCTCAAGCAAAACAGAGTCCCATAATATCTCATTATAGAATAGAGCATAAACACAAATATCCCTTCTTCTCTAGAGGCCTTTGTAGATACCTCTTGCAACTAATGGCCTTCATAGTCAAGAAGCAATTTTGCTTCAGGATTCAATCACTCTGTGTTTTAAACTATGAAATTCACAAAATATTTTTTACACTGACTTATTTGCTTTACTTAGATTTTGTAACCCTGTCAATCATATTTGTTAATGAGTTAATTCATTCTTAATGAGTTACTACACAGACTTTTTTCCTAGAAGGCAAACAAAACAGTAAGTCTAAATGTGATCTTTTGGGTCTAAAGATAATTTAAATCCAAAAATTCATATTTTAAGTTAGTAGAGTATAACATCTTTAAAGGTAAAATCTGACATTTATATCCTATACTACTAGAGTATTTTGAAATAACTGGCATTCCACTGAAAGATGAAACCGGTAAATATTCATATATTATCAAATATTATAACTCAAGACTTGAGATTCAAAAAATTTTGTAATGAAAAATTTAAAACTAAGGAGTTATTATTACTTTTTTAGGTGTAATTATAATTGGTATTGAGGTGTTTGGCTGTCTCAGTTGGTAGATTATACAACTCTTGATCTCAAGGTCATGAGTTCAGCCCCACATTGGGCATAAAACTTACTTTTAAAAAATTTTTTTAAGAAATTGGTATTTTTTTTAAACTCTTACCTTTTGAAATATATACTACAATGTTTATGGATGAAATTATATGATATCTGGATTTGCTTTAAAATAATCAAGGTGGACGTTACAAGAGGAAGTTGATATTCATGAAACAATATTGACCATTAGTTGATCATTGTTAAAGCTGAGTGATAGGCCCATGCAGCTCATTTTGGTATTCTCTCTACTTTCATGCATGATTGAAATTTTCCATACTGAAAAAATTTTTAAACAAAAACAAAAGCAAAGGAAGTATGGTGGGAAAGTATGGTGCTGGTATCATTATTTACCTAACAAAATTCTATTTTGATGACAAAAAATCATTAGAATGAATTAAGCAATTCATGCCTAAGCAGAAAAAGTCAGTGGGAAGCTGGGAGTTTAAATCAATCAATTCCTACATATATCATTAAATATTAAGATAATCAAAGCAAATATTCCCTTCATACTCACCTCTACTTTCTCAAAACATGTTTCATACCAAATATTAGTCCCATGGGATGTGATTAGCTATTATATGCAAAAGCCATTTCATCATAAGTGTGTGAAAAACACAGGATTAAAGCCAAATAATTTTACTAAAGCACTTCTCAGAAAGTTAACATGATCATCTTGAAAAGGAAGAACAAAGTTGGAAGACTCACATTTCTTGATTTCAATACTACTACAAAGCTACAATGATCAAAACACTGTGGAACTGGCAGAAGGACACACATATAGATCCATAGAAAAGAACTGGGAGTCCAGAAATAAGCCCATGTGTCAATGATCAATAGATTTTTGACAAGAGAGCCACAACCATTCAATGAGAAAGAATCATTCTTTCATTAAGCAGTGCTGAGACAATGGAATATACACAAGCAAAAGAATAAATTTGTAAACCTCCATCACAACGTATAGAAATATGAAGTCAAAAGGATCAATGGCCTAAAAATAAAATCTTTAGAAAAAATAAAACAAATACAAAAATGAATGAGTAAAGGGCTTGAATAGACATTTCTCCAAAGAAGATACAAAAATAGCCAATAAGTATATGAAATGATGGATAACATTATTAGCTATCAGGGAAATGTACACCCAAACCACAAAGAGATATACCTTCACACACACTAGGCTAGCTATAATTTTAAAAAATTGAAAGTAATAAGTATTGGTGAGGATGTAGAGAAATTGGAAACCTCCTACATTACTGGTGGGAATGTAAATTGGTGCCACCACTATGGAAAACAGTTTGTCAGTTTCTTAAAAAATTAAACAATTACCATATGACCATGCATTTCCACTCCTGGGTATATATTCCAGCAAAATAATAACATGTTCAAACAAAGACTTATACACAAATGTTCATATGAGCATTTTTCATAATAGCCAAAAGGTAGAAACAACCTAAATGTCCATCAACTGAATAAAATATGGTATATTCCTACAGTGGAATGTATTCAGCGGGAAAAAAAAAGTACCAATAAATGCTATGACATAGATGAGCCTTGAAGATATATGTTAAGTGAAAGAAACTAGACACAAAAGACCAAGTATTATTGTATGACTTCATTTATATGAAATGTCCAAAACAGGCAAATCCATAAGGATAAAAAGTGTGTTAAGTGGTTGCCAGCAGCCAGGGTGGGAGGCAAGAATGAGCAGTGACTGCTAACGGACACGGAGTTTCTTATTGGGGTGATGAGAATATTCTGGAACTAGATAGTGGGAATAGTTGCATAACTTTGTGAATATACTAAAAACTACTGAATTGTATACTTTAATAGGATGAATGTTATGATGTTTGAAATACATTTCAATAAAAGATAAAAGAATCCTGAGTGTAAGAAGGAAAATGTCAAAGTAGTGACAGCCACCTAAGTCAAGCTTCTTGATAATTCCCTCTAAATGCTGACTTCGAGTCCTTAGAATAAGGGATCCCTATTGATTTTAGGTCTAAAACATGGTACCTATTTTAGCACAAAAATTATTATGTTTAGCCAGATTAAAATGAGCATTACTCTAGGTAAGCCCAATGCTACTTTAAAACAAACTTTTTAAATGTAAACCCTACAAAATGAAGTCTCTGATCTCAAAAAATTAAAAATGACTTCTCAGTATGCTCGCCTTAGACTCTGTAAGTCAAAAGAAGTCTAACCAGTGATAAGAAAATAGCCTGTAGGCATGGAGAATAAAAAATGAGAACAAGCAAAAAGTTAAGAAAGACAAATAGAGGGAAGAAACTAGTCTAACAATGTTCATTTTCTTTTCAGATTCCAAAAAGCATATGCATAAAGCTTCTCTTATCAAAATAATAGTCTTACATTTTATTAAAATACAGAATATTGTCATGCCATGATAAAAGATTCAACAATTCAAGTCTTCTTTTCATCTCTTGTATGTATCTTATGTCATATTATTTATCTGATTTCACTTCAAAAGTCAAGAAGAGGTTCTGTTATTCTTTCCCTAGGCCAAAACTAAATGGGTTAAAATAATAAACCAGAGATCACGTCTTTATTTTCATACCTTCCTGCTTTGCATGTAATGTCCAGAAGAAAACAACTTTATAAACTATTATTACTAAAACTATTGATTAATCAGTAAGGGCAACAACAACAACAACAAAATCT